CAAGAATACTCATCAAGTTTTATTAGAAATATTATCATCATATTTTTCGCCTACATTGTGGACTCCATTTTATTTCCTTAACTTCTTAGAAGTGAGAGATGGCCTTTTCTTACTAACATAATTTTATTTTCTTACGTAATTCAAGTTGTGTGCACCTAACCAAAATTAAATTCAGTCGATTGGTTGGAGGAATTCATAATTAGCTGACATCACTTAGAGAACCATTTAAAAACCAGCTGGGAGTACTAGACAGCTTTTTCGTCCTAGTTTTGGACTCCTCATCAGTCAACGCATGATGAAATTCCCCACAAAACCAATATTTGAAAATTGATCTGATGCTGACTAGTGACTGGCCCTATTCAGGAAGTTACCTGCGGTTTTAGTGGGAAGCCGTGACCAGTAGGTTACAGCAGGTTGAAGGTGATGCAGTAACTCATCGAAGGAGACATTGTGAAGTGGTCACGCTATGTTGTGAATTCATGGGCTGGCCACCGGATAACGTTTCAGTGGCTTAATGGTTTGTGAGCTCGCTAGCCTTTTAACCAGTAGGTCCTGGGTTCGGACCGTGGTGGTGGGGGCGTACTGATGAAGAGTCCCAAACTAGGTTGGTGAAACAACTGTCCAGTACTCTCAAGTGGTTTTCCAATGGTTCTGTAACTGATGTCAGTTCACGATGAAATCTTCCAACCAATCAAACAAAAAGTTCCCTACAAAACCAATACTTAAAATGGATTCACTTTATTCCACAAATGCTTTCACTACCCTAGTCCCCACTATTTGTGTTTTACTGGGAAACTTCGAACACAATAAATAATGTAAGTAGAGCAGTAATTTTATATTTTACTCACTAGACATTTCGATTCACCTATGTATCATTACTGTTCATAATTATTTTCCCAAATTTTATCTCCAACAAACTGAAGTATGCTAAAATTGATTGATTATTCAAAGGTGAATGTAGCTGAAAAAATACTGTTGAAATAAAATGTGTCCTTTTATCCAGCTCCATGTGTTGTTATTGCCTTCTTTACAATCATGAAATCGCATCACCTGTGAAGTACGCTAATTTCAACAAAGTCAACATCCCCTTTGACTCAGTGTTCGTGTGTGTAATGCCCTTAGAAATGATTTAATTTTTCAAAATGTCAATATACTAACGTATTTGCAATGTCTGTTGAAACAAAGCTACTAAATATTTATTTTAAACAATAGTGAAATAATAAAATTCCTATTCAATTAGGTTTCTCTGGTTTCAAATGCTTATCGTCCTTAGCTAGAGCATTGCTGAAACCGTAAAGCAGTAAACAGCCATTTCTATATGGTTTAAGACATTTTGACTTCAACTGCATGAAAGATCAAGGGCTCAGTTACCTTATAACTTTTTCAATGTATAGAAACTACTGTTGAACCAACAGACTAAACCTGATCGACATCAGTTAATAACTCTTATAAATGATTATTATTATTATTGTTCCCTCGGTTTGCGAATGGAACACACAGTTTCAACAATACATCTCCACTTTCTTCTATTCTACGCTGTCCTCTCAAAATGGGCAAAAGATTGCCAAACTCTCTCATCCCTTCTTCACACGATCTCCTCCACAACACCCTAGGACGACCTATTCGTCGCTTCCCATTCGGATTCCATTCAAGGGCCTGGCATGCGATGTCATTCGGCGGCCTCCTCAATGTATGCCCAATCCATCTCCATTCGCTCCTACAAATTTGTTGAGTGATCGGCTCTTTGTTGGTTTGTTCCCACAGTTTCTTGCTAATAATTCTTTATGGCCGTTTGATTTTCAGGACAGAGCCAGCGAAGGCAGCTGCTGATGAAGTGTGAAACCTGTTCAAAATCCTTTTTGTAACGCGCTAGTCAAGTTTCTGACCCGTATAGAAGAACTGACTTCACATTGTTGTTTATGGTGGCAGAGTGTAGAAAAACTGATTTCAACTTGATGAAGGCGTATCTTGCATTTCCGATTCTGTCTGGCCTGCTTTGACATTTTCATCCATGCTGTTGCCTGTGGTTGAAAAGATGCCTCCTAGATAAGTGAATGAAGTGACCTCTGTCAAATGCCTACCGTTGATGGTGATTGGTGCTGTTTGTGATTGTTGTTACGGGTCGCTGGTTAACTTCATCACCTCCATCTTTTCTATGTTCACATTCAGTCCTGTCTTCGCTGCCCACCAACCTCTTCTTCCAGTTTGTTGGTTGTCACCTGCAAATCTTCGAGTTTGTGCGCCATTAAATAATAGTCATCCACACGCGAAATACAGATCCTCAAAAATCTCATTATCGGTTGTCCAGCGTATTCCTGTCTTCGAATTCATCACTCACAGTCTGACGCATAATCCAGTCCACCATATTTAAGAATATCATCGGTGATTATACGCACCCAGATTGTCTTACTCCTGTATTCACTTCGACCGTCTTGCTGAGTTTTCCTTTTTACATCACTTGACATATGTCATTTTCATATAACTGTTGAATGAGGCTGGTAACGATTTGGACACTGCACTCCATAGTGTTACAGTAGTTTCGAAATTACTTCTCGGTCAACGCTGTCGAAGGCCTTTTCGAAGTCAATGAAGTTGAGGTAGAGAGAGGTTAGTCTGCCATTCCGTGTTTTGTTCTGTGATGATGATGATGATGCATAGTGTTCCAGCTCGATGATCAGCACATGATTTGCCGTTCCTGAATGCAGCTTGTTCTATGGGGTGGGTGGAGTTCTGTATTCAGTGCATCTTTTATTCTCTCCAGGATGATGTGACTTAGAATTTTACTTGGTGTGGACAAGAGCATTATTCCATGCCAATTCTTGCACAGCCCTAAGTCACCCTTCTTTGGCAGCTTGACAAGGTAGCCTTTATTCCAATCGGCAAGTACTTTCCCTTCCTTCAAAACCTTTCACAATAATGACGTGAGAACATCTGCCGCAGTCTCTGGGTCCGTTTTCACAGCTTTGGGGCGGGAAGATTCCGCCTGGTCCTGCTGCCTATCCGGACTTCAGTAGCTTCATAGCATTCAGAATTTTAGCTTTCGCCGGAGGATTGGTGTCCATTGGCAGGTAGTTCTGTGCGTGTTGTCAGTGGTGGTGGTGTTATTTCTGGGCTAGATACAGGTGATGGTCGATTGAAGAGTCCTCTAAAGTGATCATCCCATTGTTTTATTTGTCTCTCCTATTTAGTAGTTAGGTTCCCTTGAGCATCTTTTATTGGTTTCATCATCTGGATTGATTTCTTCCCAGATAGAGACCTGGTTATCTGATATACTGTCCTGAGGTCTCTTTTACCTGTGGCCTGCTTGCATGTTCTGCTTCAGTTGCCGGTCAGTGTGTCGTAGAATTGTCTCTTGTCTTGTCTCCTTCACTTCTTTATTCAGTTCAGTGTACACTGAACTCAGATTCTCCTTCTCTTGTCCATTTTTCCATTGAGTCATCACCATTCTCTTCCACCAACCTCCTCTCCTCTCTTCCATAAGCTTCTAGGTAGGTGTCCGTCGACAGCCATTCCTCATCTTGGCTGGTCTCTTCTTTCTTCCCAGAAGAGTTTTACACGTTTCCTTGAATACTGCCTTCAGAGAATTTCATTGTTCTTCCACACAGGTTTCCTCAGTGATATCACGTAGTGTATCCGATTTCGCTCTGATCTAATCTGATCTGTAGTGAAGGCATCCCTTGTAGTTTCGTCATTCAGTTTCTGAATATTGAACTTGAATTGTGGTCCGTCTCCACTTGTTTTCATGGATTTCAGCCTCACCTTGAAGGTTCTTTGAAACAGATGATGGTCTGAGCCCACATCTACTCCCCTTCTCGACAGTGTACCCAGCAAGTTGCGTTTCCACTTTCTTAAGCAGCATTGAGCTGAAATCTATATATCGTTTATGGTATGTCTCTCAGGCGAAATCCATGTTGCTTTGTGCATATCCTTGCGTTTGTACACGCTCCGTCCGATCACCAAATCGTTGCAAGGGTAGAGGTCTGAGAATAATTCTCCGTTCTCATTTATTTCTCCGAGTCAGAGTCGACGCATGACGAGTTCTCTTCCAGTATTACCTGCTCCCAGTTTAGGTGGCATTCATATCACCCATGAGGATTTCGGTGTCACCAGTCAGGATGTTGTCCATCACTGTTTGTAGTTGTCTGTAAAAATCTTTCTACTTCTATTGTCCCGCGTTGTTTGTAGCACTGTACGTAGCATTGGATAATTGTGATCTTCCTTCCTTTTGAGTTGAATCCTACTGTCATGATCCCGGATGAAATTGGTACCCATTGCATTAGGGCTTTGGCTGCCTCTGGTGACATCATAGTAGCTACTCGCTCAGTGTATGTGTGGTTGTCGTCTGGATGACCACAGTAGATTACTGACTCGCCAGTTGACAACTTCGATAGTCCACATCCATTCAATCCGCTCTCGCAGATACCCACCACTTCTATGGCATATCTTCGCATCTCTTTGGCTGCCAGCCATCGTCGTACACTGTAAAGACATTGCACGTCCCCATTCTTATTCTTCATTTCATCGACAGAAGACACATTAGCTGGATGAATGGCTTCCCAAAGGCTTTCACCAGCCCGGTGTGTCATTTTGCATCTTCGATTCCAGCGAAGAATAAGCTTGCTCTTTATATTTTTGGTATTTTTGATATTTTTATTCTAATTAATAGGGTAACTAAAACAATCCAAAACAGTGAGAGTAACTTGATATCATTTAAATCTCTGAAAACCAATACTTGAAAACTAACCTGATATCTACCAGGGACCAATTATGTGATACAGTGTCTGGAGTGCCAGTGAGAATTGATGACCATCTTAGTCTACTAAATATGATGACTGCTGGTGACATTATTCGGTGGTAGCGCTATACATCGTGAACTCATAATCATCAAATCCTGTCACGGTGATTGAATGGTCATCAACAGACTCATCTCACAACTTATAGGTCCTGGGTTCGACCTCCAGTGGGTTAAAAATCAATCCTTTCCATTGTAAAGTAACACTTTAAACGTAATACTGTTTTATTCTCTTCCTCTTACATGGTATAACAAAGGTTTTCAATAAAATTCAAGAACTAAAATAATAAATCAAGAACAACAAAAACAACAGCAAAAAAAATAAAATATCGAAATGTACAAACTGGAATAGATAGAATAGGACTGAAAAGAGAAAGTCAGTAATGAAAGCCAAAGGAAAGAAAATCATTTCTTTTTTTTAGAAAAATAACAAAACAGAATCTACAGAATGATAGTACACAGATAATTACTTGTTTTCTCTGTGTGATTTCAATTTTGATAGTAATGGATCATGTTTCTTGCAATTGTAAGAATTTTTCATAACTTAAGCATATATATAATATGAAATGTCTTCTTTAAGACACTTCGAATAAAATTTTTAAAAAAAAGAGAAATACAAATTGAGTAGCTCATTAAAAAAAGATTCTCGCTCTCAGTGTGCTTATTTCCAGCTAACAACCGTTTATCGAAATGAAGGCAGAAATTGAGAAAAGACTGTGTTTTCTCACCAGCAACAATATTATTATTATTCCATATCAATGTACAATGACCAGCACTGGAGACAGGAGACGAAGTAAAACTGCAACATTATCCATCTATATCTTTTTTGTTTTATTTATACAATGTGATGGTAATTAGGAATCAGTCATTTGTTTTCAAACATATATGTATATGTATATAAGCATATGAACGAACAACTAGCTTACGCAATAGGTAATGGGATCAGTGTTAAGGGATTGACATTTCTGTAGAATGAAGACAATAGAATAATTACGAATAATACCAATAATGGGCAATAAATCTTGTGCAGTAAGTATAAACAACTGAGAGAAAGTAGTAGCACAGTTATGTGATCAGTGTTGATTATATTTTTATACAATATGCGCTTAATAAATGATCACACTTGTTATCAGTAGAAATCTGTGTTTCCTATGCTTAACTCATTATTATTATTGTTATTATTTTTCTGAGTCATATAACATTAAAACAAAATACACCAAAAAGAGTAATATGTGTAGCATATGGCTGGAGTTTATTATCCCACTTTCTAGTGTTATTCTTGCATTACACTGAATACTAATCAGTGATTCATGCGTGTAATTGATTGTATTGAAAGTGAGATAATATGTCGCTATTGTTGTTGGTGGTGGTGCTGTTGGTGTTGTCGGTGTTGTAAATTTTAAAAAATTTCACTTCATTTGTTTAACTGTTTGACAGTGAAATGTTTAAATTCTAACATTTGATTATTTACTATTTTCTCTGAAAGAATAAATATAATTAAAAGATGTAGGTCATTATTCTATGGACAATTATGCATACATAGTGTATAATAAAACTAAACACAAATCGCAGTCATAATAGTTAATAACTTGCAATAGAATATCCGATCAATATTTGCATATTTGTAAGTATATATATGTATGTAGTTGGATTTCGAGCCGCGATGGCTGTGTACAGCCGATAAGTCCCATACTAGAACGAAACAGCTGTCCAGTACTCCCTGATTTTCAGTGATTCCCTAACTGATATCAATCTGTTGTCAAATTTGAAGTATGTATATATAATCTGGTTGGAGATAACCAGCAGACAGCACTGAACCGCGTGTTACAGTCAGAGATAGTAACATTGGACTATCAGGCTCACAGGACTGCAATGAACGCACTGATTGGTTAATGTCGTATAACGAGGGTCATATTTCTTACACCGTGGTTACCAAATGACCAGTCTATAGGTATTTACACACGTATGTATGCAAATCGGACATATCAGATAAGCATAGTGAAAAAAATGACAACATTTTCGTTAAATAACTGAAACGTCGAAACGACTATTCATAAGTCACCAATTTACCATAAATTTTAATTACCAAGTGTTGATCTGCACAGAATTGATTCTTTGCCAGTGTGATCACGACTTGACATCAGTTAGAGAACCATTAGAAAACCTAGGAGTATTGGACATCTTTTTTTCCTAGTATGGGGCTTTCCAGCAGTAGGCACCCACTAGGATTCATATCCAGGACCTTACGACTCTAAGTTGAACTATTTTACCATTCAGTCACTGAAACTCGATTTTAAATCGACTTATAAATGTTCACTCAAAGAAGTTGATTAGTTGAGTAAGTCGCTCATTCATTTCCAATGGTATAACAAAACGAAGTTTTATTAATATTCCCTGAGTTCTCCGTATCCAGTTGTTTAATTTCTTTCAGTCATTCAGGTCAGAAAAACACGACTGCATCAAAAATCATCCATCTAAACTACTTACCTTCTGTCATTTCCAAAGATTTAGAAAGTTAGGTAAGCTCCAATGAAGTCACTAAGATCAGTGTCGAAATTTTCATCATCTTCAATTATAATATTTTTGAGAAACTTTTATTGTTTTGATTTGACACTAGTAACTAGTGTGATGTGTATAGTCCTCTCTTTGGTGCAGACTGAATTCTATCAGTCAGGTTTGTAATATGGCAACCATTCTAGGTAGCTCGCTATCACGGTGCACATTGATTTGATGATATTAGATAGTTGCAGGCAATCGGCAGGAAGCATTAGACCTAGGTTTCGTGCTAGTTGGCAGTCTGCAACCTTGAAGGAACTCATGTCCCTTCTGAGATTCGAACCCCCGTCACCCAGTGCTGCACTCCGAGACGATCCTGCATTACAAACCTGACTGATAGAATTCAGTCTGCACCAAAGAGAGGACTAGACACATCACACTAGTTACTAGTGTCAAATCAAAATATCCAATACAGTCCTACAGGAGGTCAATCACGAGCCCGAATAGCTCAGTGGTAACGTCTCTGACTGCAGCACTGGGTGACACAGGTTCGAATCTCAGAAGGGACATCAGTTCCTTCAAGGTTGCAGATACGCCTTACTGACTGGTGAGTGCCAACTAGCGCGAAACCTAGGTCCAAGGCTTCCTGCCGATTGCCTCCAACCACCTAAACTTTTATTGTTTTTAAAGAAGTTGGTCATTTTCACAATATAAAAGATGAAATCTTAGTGACTGAATGGCAAATGGGATAACTTTGTAATCAGAAGGTAAAGAATCCGAAAACTAGGACGGAACAGCGTCCAGTACCCTCAGATTTTCAGAAGTCCCCTAATTGACATCAATCCCTGGTCAAACTTAAAATAAAACACCATTTTGACAAATTTTTCACCTTGTTATATGATGTTTCATTTATCTGTCAGCCTTACTAATTTCCCATCCCTTCTATGATTTATACACTCAAAAAAAGAGTTTACACATTACGTAATTCATTTTTTCATGACTAAATGTCTAAGTATGATTATAATTACTGAAGTTTTGTTGCAAATAACATCCACTTTTAAATTTATACATGGGATACAATACAAATGCGCTGTTTTGAAAAAGTGATCGTCCTCAAACTATTTCATAAATATAACCACGTTAATCTAAGTCTTGATAAGTGAGAACAACATGAAGGAACAGTGAACTGCCACTATTCTCTAAAAATTATAACACAGTTATATATGCTGTTCATGTCTGACACAGCCTCTAAAATCTTATTATCCAGTCTCGGAAGGTATATCTTCTTGCTCATTAATGTTTTGTTTGTAGCCAGCGGTAGATTTGTTAGTAGGAGATAAAACATTTCCCGTTCATCTATTTTGACTTCCCCTCCTGATAATAAATATAGGAAGGCCTATAAAGACCAAGAAATTCGACCGCTTAGTTAATAAACAACAGGCTACTGTAAGATTCCCAAGTGGATTCCACAATCCATACATTTATCGAGCAAATATTCCAAAAAAATAGACAAATTTCAAAAAAAACAGATCATGATTAACGTATTTGATTGAAGCATGATATTTAATGCCTTACTTGTTCACATTGATCGAAGATCCATTAACTAAGTGATGAGCACCTTTAGGATTCCAGAACAGATCAGCAACCTGTGGTTTACTTTCATTTGGAGTTGGCAACTCCATACTACCACCAAAACTACCTCGAGGACTCACTCTTTGTGTTGGTTTGGCTGGAGGACCTAATAATGACATAGTTAAACTGTGTCTAGGTTCGTCTAGATTGGGTGTCTTTGGTGGATTGTTGTCTAAGCCGTCACTAACTCGTCTGTTTTCATTGAACGGTTCATAACTGACTGGCCAAACTGTACTTTCACTGGTTTCTGAGCCTGTTGAAGTCTCAGGACAATCACTGGTAGTTGTTGTTGGTGGAGATGTTATTTCTAATTGGATGTCTGTGTTTGAATCAATCTTACTGAAATTACATAAAGGCAGAAATGTTTCATTTTAACAGTCGGTAACAAGTTGCATAATACATGGTAATTGAAATAACCATTTTTTTTAGTTAGTCTTGTTTTGGATTTAAGGCTACTAAAAATAGCATCTACTAACTGTGAGTTTTCATTTCTGTCAGCTGACATTTTAATCACACTTTACTTATAAACACATTTATTGAGTAACTGAACTGTCAAAATACTGGTGACACATTAATAAACTGATGTTAGAAGTCTCTCCTTAGATTACCTCCTTTTGACTTAGTGTCTTAAGCAGACGGTAAGACGACAGATTCAGGTGCGACAGAATAGGCCTAAAGTGACCGAAGTATGTTTGAAGTTAACATGTTTCTTTTAAATTTATCAGATATGCATTATTATATTATGCTCAGAAACTGCATGCAGTACAGGTGTCATTTCAAAAAATGTTTTAGACACGCCTGGTTGTTTCTAATTCGTCAGTAAGGATCAGTAGGACCATGGTAACACATATTTTTAATACATGTCTTAAGAAAGACATAGTTCCCTCCTTGTTAAACCTCATCAGTGAAGCTTATTTGATGAACGATAGGTTTATCCATTTTCCTTTAACCTAGAGCCTCTCAGCTCCAAGTGAGTAGTGCGTACCTAAGTTAATCTTATCTCTATCCCAAAAGGCTACCAGTCACCCGAATGGTTCAGGTAGACATTAGTTACTAAATATGTGGAAACTCACTAAACTAAAATTTTACCAATCCTTATCTCGTCGGGCATATCATCAGCATGTTTGTGCATCCCCACGGATGATAACCTATATTTTAAAGCAAAATTTCACGGAGTAAAGTAATGTGAATCGGAAAAACTAGACAAATATTAGGAACCTACTCTTCTCGTCTATTCAAACCTTAATTGACACCATGTATTTGCCTTTAAATACTATACAAAAACTGTTAAACGAATAGATATTTAAAATCCTAACTAAAAGTCAATTAAAAACTAAAGCAATAGACAGTTCGTTAATTCGGTAATCAGGATTCTATCGTCATTATCATGACAGAGAACCGAATGCTATGAAGACGCACCGCTGAAGTAATATGTTCCACTCGGAAAACAAAGGATATATCAAAATTACACAATAACTCTGAAATAATACGAAGTAATTTCTCGTGTTCTAGCTCTCACATCTTATACCATATACCATTTGTTCAGCTTCATGTCAAATTGACACCTGTCTACCATGTCCAATGAATTAGTCAGTAGTTTTGAATTTTTGGTAAGATCATGGGCCTGACAGTTAATAGTTAAGTTGGGCATTATTATTCTCTTGGGTTCCAAGTGGAGCATAGAGCTTCAACAATACATATCCACTTTCTTCTACTTTACGCTGTTCTCTCCAGCTGGGCACACGACTGCCAGCAGTCTCTCATTTCCTCATCGACACACAATCTCCTCCATCTCAACCTCTCTCACTGACGACCCACTCGTTGCTTCCCACTCAAGTTCCACTCGACTGTTGACCTGCATTCAGGACGATGTCATTCGATGGTCTTCTCAACATATGCCCTATCCATCTACATTCTCTCATACATATTTGTTGAGCGCTAAGCACTTCATCGGTTTGTCCCACTGCAGAGCTTCTTGCTGCTAATTCTTTCTCGCCCGCCAACTGATCTTCAACATGGAGCCAGTGAAGAGGACAGCTGTTGAGGAAGGTCTGAAGTAGCCTGTAGGGAAATGCTCTTCGTAACGCACTTGTTGTGCAAGTCTCCGACTCATAAAGAAGAAGTGACTGATTGACTTTACATAGTTGTTGAAAATTCAAGTGTTGTTGTTTATGCTGCGGGGTAGAGTGCAGAAGATTTCCGAACTGGTTTCAGGTTGATGCAGGCATATCTTACCTTTCCGATTCTAGCTGGCCTGCTTTGACATCTTCATCCGTGCCGTCACCTTTGAATGAAACGATGCTTCCTAGATAAGTGAATGCAGTGACCTTTGTGAAATCTCTCCTGTTGATGGTGACTGGTGCTGGTCGTGGCTGTTGCTGCTGTTAGTTGGTTATCTTCATCACCTCGCTTCTTCTTTATGTTCACCTGGCGTCCTATCTTCGCTGCCTGCCTCTTTAACCAGTTTGCTGGTTTTCACCTGTAAGTTTTCGAGTTTTTGTGGCATTAAACGTAAATCATCTGGGAAAACCAGACCTTCTATAGTCGTCTTATTGGTCAAATGTATTCCTGTCTTCCCATACCCTGTTCACAGTTTGACGCATAATCCAGTCCACCACAATTAAGAATACCATTGGTGATAATAGACAGCCCTGTCTTACTACTGCATTCACTTCGAAAGCCTCGCTGAGTTTTCCATTGTGGATCACTTGATACGTGACATTTTCATATATCCAGATATTGAATGACGTTGGTTGAGACTAGGGCACTTCATGCTGTAGTGTTGAAGCAGTGTCCAAATTACTTATCGGTCGACGCTGTCTGGTGAATGCCTTTTCGAAGCTGATAAAGTTGAGGCAAAGGTTTGACTGCCGTTGTATGCTTTGTTCGATAACGATGATGCATAGAGTTGCAACTCGATGATCAGCACATGATTTGCCTTTCCTGAATCCAGCTTGTTCTGGTCGGTGAGGATGAGTTCTGTATCCAGTGCATCTTTTATTCTCTCCAGGATGATGTGACTTAGTATTTTACTTGGCGCGGACAAGAGAATTATTCTACACCAGTTTTTCAGAGGCCAAGATTTCAGTTGAGCACTATCCCTAATTAGCTTGAAATAAATTTGACTGAAGGGATAATTACTTTACGAATGAACACCTTATTTTAAATAACGAACTTCACTAAGTCAGTGAAACTAGCTAAAAAATAACTATATTGCTGAAATACTTAATTTTCTAGTTGCATATATGCAAATGCTCTTGTACACATTCACACACCTTTAAGGTTATCATATCCCTTCGTGTATTTTATATTGGAAAGTGGCAAGTAAAAGATTGTCACATGAGTTCTATACTTTCTGGCATATATTCTTACACGTTCATTTAACCTCGAAAAAATGTTTTTGTGTATTCAAGAGAAAAAGGTATTCTATTTCTATAACAACAATAATACTGTTGAAGCACACATAACCTAATAAATTCACTAAAAGAATTTACTGGTCTAGGAAAGAGCATTGATACTTATACAGTGTTATAGAAAAGTAATATGCATGTGACGTATGAGCATTAAAGTTGAATTTTTGCAAGTTAAATTAATTATCAAGGAAATAAAAGCTTAAATCTCTTCTAATACGAAATCTAGGCGAAGAAACAGAATTTCACCGTTAAAAGTTCAGTATTCTTATCGGAAAACGTGATGCATATGTCGTGAATGCTGTTACCTACTACTAATCTTATATAAATTGTCAAACTTGAAGGAATTCCCTGCAAACCATCAATAATAATTATTATTATTATTCCCACTGCATTTCAAGTGAAACACTTCTCCATTTCACCTTGTTCTGTGCAGTCCTTTGTAGCTGGTTTAACAGTTGTCCATAAGCTTTTATTTCCTTCCCATATAACTCTCACCATGTTACCTTCAGATGTTCATTTCAACCCCCATCTTTGCTGCTTTTTCTATCAACGTCTTGGTTTTAGCTAATAGATCTTCCACTTTGTGTGACACTAGAAACAAATCACTGGTGAATTCCAAAATCCTTTACTTGTCGGTCTAGCATATGACCATTTTATCTATCCCCATGATTTATTGAATGACCAAGTCCACCAAAGTCAGGAATATTACGGGTGATAGTAAGCAACCATGTCTTACTCAGATCTTTACTTCAAAGGTTTCACTGAGCTTTCCGTTGTGAATCACTTGGTAGGTATCATCATCATCATTTAGCTGTCGAATGAGGTTTACAAAGGTTTCTTGGCACTGCATAGTGTGTTGAAGCAGTTGGAAGATTACCTCCTGGTATCGAAGACTTTTTCAAGGTCGGAAAGTCTAAGGTAAATAGTTGACAACCGTTCTAGGTTCTGTTCAACGGCGATGCATAGTAATGCAGTCTAATCAGCTCAGCATTTAGTTCTACGGAATCCAGGCTGTTTCCAGATTGGTCTTCTATCCAGAACATTGCGTAGTCTCTCCGCGACAATGCAAATCAATATTTGTTTGTGGTAGACAGGAGCATGATTCGATGCCAGTTCTTGCAAAGACTTAGGACGTCTTCCCTTGTCACTTTGATCAGGTACTTGTCCTTCACTCAATAGTTTCCTTCCATTCGTTCTATGACTCTTACGGTAGTGGTGTCAGCATTTATGCTGAGACGTCTGAGTCCGTTTTCAGCACCTCTGTAGTGGTACATTTGGTCCCCCCACTTCCCCGGCTGGATTATAGAAAGTCGATGACCTTAACGATTTCTGCTTTGGTGGGAAGACTGGTGTTCACTGACAGTTCTGTATCTATTGTTGGTGGTATTTCAGGACTGGTTGCAGCTGGTGGTCGATTTGAGGATCTTCTGAACTGATTGGCCTATTGTTTTTTTTTGTTTTTCCGTCTCAGCAGTTATGCTACTTAATATCCCTGAATTTTCTGTGATGCCAGCAATGAATATGTCCTTTGTAGTCCTACCCTTCATATCCTGAATTTCGAACTCGAAGACTTTCAACTTGAAGGTGAAGGTCCCTTGAAGTAGATAACGGTCTGACCCTAGATCTGCCTTTCTTCCTGACTTTATGTATGGCAGGCTGCGTCTCCACTTCCTTGAAGCTGAGATGAAGCCTACCTGAAACCACGTCCCTTTGTGTATATCAGACTCATTATGAGTTTTATTATGTTGTTTACTCCCAGGTTGGTATCTATATGGCCCATCAGGATTTTGACATTGACACTTGGTATGTTGTCCTCTACTGTTTACAGTCGTCTGTAGAAATCTTACTCCTCTCAATGTGTTGGGTGTAGAAGAGTAGCATTGGGTAATAGTAAGTTTTTCCTGTCTCTTGAATTGAATCTTGTTGTCATTAACCTGAGGAAGACTGATCCTCACCATGTAACAGCCTTCAATGTTATTAGTGACATTATGATAACCACCCTTCCAGTGTGCTTGTGATTATCGTCTCATGACTGTAGAAGGTAACTGACTCTCCACTTAACAACTTGGAGGATCCCCTTCTACTGCATCTGCCCTCACAGATTCCTAGCACTTCTATGCCGTATCATCTCATCTCTTTGGTAATCTGAGCAACTTTCCCAACTTCGAAAATTATGCGGATATTCTATGTTGCCATGTTTATTTTTGCCTTCATCAAGAGAAGATACGTCCGTTGACTGGCTCACCCAAAGGCCTTCGCCAGTCGGCGTCATTTTATTCCTCTGACCCCAGTGAAGAATAGGTTTTTCTTTCATATTTTTCTGCAAATTGAAGTTTCTCTAGCGACTGGATTGGTTTTCCGGTATAAGGTCGTCAGCCCCACTCTCAACGTGGAATATTAATTAAGAAGCTTTGGAATGACGTCCATAGTTTATTACAGATTACTTATGTTTCTGGAAACACTAAACAGACAGCCGAGAGAAATTTATCAGAGCTGGTAATTGAAAAGCGTGATACTATTAAACAAGCAATTTCATGGTGCTGTCTTTGATTATAGGAGTGCATCGTTAAGATACCTACTAAATCTTCTTTTTATAATGTATTTTATAAGGTATTTACAGTAAACCAATATGTTGTTTGTTTTATTCTTTTACGTTCCCAATGGAACATAGGGCCGCTTCAAGCTAGAGCCTTAAAGTTTCGGTAGCAGTAGTGTTTACTTTTATATGATGAGGTTGCTAGCCTCATGCCCAACCTTCCCTCTTTACCAGTCTTATTACTGGCTTAGCGAGGTAAAGCAGTGCATTGGCAGGGGATCGAACCCCGAACCACGTGTGGCGTGGTTGGCAAGCATTCTACCGCTTCGCCACCGACGCACTAACCAATATGAATAGATATGAAAAAATCTTTTCAATTAACAGTTTGGAAATTTCATTAGTCGGCCTTAACAAGGGGGATTAATGCTGAGAAAAAAACCCACTTACGTTTTAGGTGAATGAGATTGTAAACTGTCAGAAGAATCGCTGAAGGAATCTTGATTTATAAGCACAGATGGTCTGGAAGAGAAAAGAAATAAGCATAGCAAAATTCAATTCACCAATTATAAAGCAACCAAGAAAAGTATAAATATGAAAGCATCAAATTGATAAATCCTCATCTGGGGTCGACTTATTTTAGTGTTTAACTAAAGTACATTAAAATAGAACACTGTGTATAACACAACGGAAAATCATCAATTGTGACTTGTATTCACCAAGATATCAAACTGTAGGATAATTCAGTGAGTGTTGGTGAGGTTGCACTATAATTCAATAATAAGCAGTTAGATATAAAGAAAGCAATTGAAGTGAAGAACTCGTAGTCAACCAATCAAACATTAGTGACCTTAACCATGCTCTTATTTACAAAGACATTATTTTTCTCAATAATACAGTCTACTTTTCTGATTCTATATTAGTTAAGTTTATTTGATATAAGACACAGTGATGCAGTGTGAAAAACTGGATGATATTTTCAGGTCAACTTATTACTTGTAATTAATGTCAGTAAAAAGTTTGAGCATTGTGGAATAGATTAAATGAAGTATAATTATATTTCAATGGTTCACAAACAGCGATAAGTTTTTATTATTGGTGATATTTCGAGCAAAATTTCTGCCCGTGTTCACACCAACTGCTGGAATTGTTTTGTTTTTTATTTCACACATTTATGATTTGTACTCATGTATATATTTCTTTTTTTGTTCATTAATTGTTGTGTATTAAGAATTATATTCCAGGTTAGAAGTTAATTGGTGGATGGTGACTAGCAGACCGAGAACTGCAGTTCAATCAATCGACGGGAAAATCTAAAATTCAAGGTTGTTTCACGTATCCGGTATGACCTTAATGAATATAGATTATGTTATAAATCTCTCTTTCATTTGTTCATATTAGTTTTTAGAATACATTGTTCCAATCAATATTGTGTTTTTTGTCCCATGCATGTACAACTATAGATGAATTTTTTCTAAATTCTTGTGAGCCTGTGCTCTTGTTGGTTGACCTTTAGTTAGGCGTTTATGTTCATTTACTCTTATTTTGAGTGATCTGGACGTTTGACTCACATATTTAGTCGGACACTCAACACAAGATATTTTGTAAATCACATTGTTTTTATCCATCATTTTATGGGATCTTGCAGTGGATTTATTTTATTTTTAATTAGATTCGTCGGTTTAAACGTGGTGCAAATCCCAATATTTCTGAGGTTTGTTTGAATTGCCTCTGATGTACCATTTTCGTATGGTATTGTGACTGTTTTTTTGCCTTCCTCCATCCTGTTATTCTTCGGTTTTACCCTCTTTTTTCTCTTTTTATACTATCTCTGATAAATTCTATTGGGTATTTGTTGTCGAGTAACATTTTGAACAGGACGTTTATTTCTTTACGCTGGTCATCTCGTGTTGTTGTAGGTCTACGTATTCTATCTACAAGACCTTGTATTAATCTTTGTTTCACCCTGAGTGGATAAGCTGAGTGATAATCAAGGAATCTCCCAGAATGTGTAGTTTTTCTATATAGCGTCGTTTTTATGCTACCTACCATCTGTTACTTTTTGTATTTTGCAGTCTAACATAGGCAGTTCCCCAATTTAATTCTCTATTTCCATAGTGAAGTTCATTTAGTCGACATGACCGTTCATGTGTGAGAAGAATCGCTCAATGGGTATTACTCGTAATCCTATCACTGAATTCACACAACTTCCTAACTTGATTTATATTAGCTTTACTCTCTTCTATTTGTTACCGGCCGAAACGTTCTAAAGAAATTAATACTGTGTCACAATGGCTTTTTTCAGATAAACTTATGTAATACGGAATAGTACTTTACCACGGTGCTCAAATATTACCCTTAGATATTTTCTTTCCCCACTAAGATTATTTTATTTCATATAATTTTTATTAAAGCAGACAGACTTGTCTCAGTGTTGCAGAATATGTTATCCAAACAAAACTCTGATCACTGGATCTTGTTAACTAAACACATCTCCCTCAATGATATCTGAGTTATTCAAAATATTATCACCAAAAGCTGATGACGACAAATACTGGAGCTATGCAAAGTAATGTAAATATAACGGATAAAATTTGTAGCTCAGATAGATGATTTCGGTGTAGTTACTTTCTCTGAAGTGGATGGTTTAGTTGCAAAGGGAGAGTGAGAAAACACTCAAAAACAACCAATCACGCTCAAGGTTACCACAGGAGACAACCAGTAAACTCGTAAAGAATTTGAAAAAAGTTCACTAAAAAATTGAAGTCTGAGCTGAGGAGATTGTCTAGTAGGTTAATGAAAGCTTCGTGACTAAACCATCTAGCGCAGACAACACACACAATTACACCAAAAAGTAATGTAAGCGCTGTGAAATGACTATATAAAGTACCGCATTTCTCTGTGCTTTAACAAAAAAATATTACTCGAATACTGATAAAATTACATCCTTCTATTTTTTTTCTTCATCTTAGAAATTCGTTTCTTATCAATTACCCAAACTGGGGGCAAAATATTATTCTGATAGATTCTATACTACTGCATTTATTTGTCCGTTTACAGATATCAATCAAAGTCCAAACGCGTAGGTTCGTTAAAATAGTCGAAAACAGATTATGGATGTTCAATTGTTGGTTTATAGGGATTTGATTGATTGGTTACAGGATTTTCATCATGAGCTGACATTAGTTAGAGAACCATTGGAAAACCTGGCAGTACTGGACAGCTGTTTCGTCCTAGTCCGGGACTCTTCATTAGTACGCACCCATCACCACGGTTCGAACCCAGGACCTTCTGGTTACAAGGTCAGTGAGCTCGTAGACCATTAAGCCACTTGGACCCGATCCAATGACCCATGAATTCTAACTTCTGCGAATTCATGACATAGCGCAATCGCTAGCCAATGTCTTCGGTGAGTATTTGTCCTCAGACATGACCTGCTGCACCCTACTTCCTGAAGACTGGCTAGGGGTCGCGCTATGCCGTGAATTGGCAGAAGTTAGAATTCATGGGCCATTGGATCGGGTCCAAGTGGCTTAATGGTCTACGAGCTCACTGACCTTGTAACCAGAAGGTCCTGGGTTCGAACCGTGGTGACGGGTTCGTACTAATGAAGAGTCCCGGACTAGGACGAAACAGCTGTCCAGTACTCCCAGGTGGTTTTCCAATGGTTCTCTAACTAATATCAGCTCATGATGAAAATCCTGTAACAGATTATGGATGCATTCACTGCTGTTGGTGTTGTTGTTGTTGTTACTGATGTCATCCTCAAGAATTAACTATCGAATTAACTAAACGGCACTATCAGAACTAGTGAAATGTATCTTGCTATCACATTAAACATTCAGGGAAAAGCTCAGGTAACGTATATCACTGATGTACTGATTGTATCTGATAAACTGAAAACTAATAAAACACAATGTATGATATTTTTTAAAACTACTAGGCATTAAATATTCACACGAACTACCACTTAATAACTACTACTTCGTTAACTCAAAGATGGATTAGGAAAAACTACAGTATAACCTAAATTGACTGACAAGGAAGCCTCTTAATCCAACCATGAATATTGATGAAGACACTCAATTTTCTCCAGAAATGCCTCACTGGGAGTGGACAACAGGTGTTGAACGGGTGCACCCTGCTCCTTTACATAAATCACTGAACTTTTTTTTAATGAATGCTACATTAATTTAACACATTGTGTTTTTCACACTTTATAGGTATTTTCCATATAAAACCTTTAGTGAAACACAGCCTATTCGATAACAATATTGCAAATTGTAGACAGGATTGATAAAATCACTACTTCATAGTCTTAAAAGGTAAATAATTTCATTTGAAAGTCATCTGACTTATAAAAGAAAAATAGATCTTTGTAGGTGATGACATTGTTAACCAAGTGAAATATTGAACAAAGTACTTGTTATGATAGGTAATATTATTTATATAAGGATAAAACTAGGGCGCTGTGGTAGAGTATAAATCCATTATGGATAGTATTTTATTTTGATAAAATCACGCAGTATTATGCAGTAATATTTACTGATGACGTCTCGAGCGCAAATTATTGCCTTGATATGGTTATGAGCAATAATTTGCGCTCAAAACGTCATCAGTAAGTATTACTGTATAACACTGTGTGATTTTATCAAAATAAAATTTTATCCGCAATCAAGTTGCGCAATATTAGTTTCCATGAAGTTAAAGAGTCGAAACAAAAATAAAAGTAGATATAGTTAAAAGTTTAAAAAAACATGGGAAAGTATTCGACATATTACTTTCAAGGTAAATAGTAATATAAATGAGACTGTTTGTTGTTAAAGAACATATCTGGATAGCTAGCTGCTGGTAAATTTGACACACGCGTTGTCATAATGCTGCTATTAATACATTCATTTACATGTTACATGTTCATATATTTTAAGAAGGAATATTACGTCACTTGATGTGCGAAAAAATCTAACTTTTCTGTCTTAAAATGACTCATAAAGTGATAGTCTTAGAAGCAAGGCATGAATATATCAATTCATACCTAATTTTTTTAATATTTTGATTACAGCTTGATGCCACACCGTATTTTCAGTACAAGTATGGCATTTTCAACATGGATATCGGTAGCCCAAATTTCGCAGGCCGACCATAGATATCGGGTGTGCGTCGGCAGGGGATCAAACCTCGGACCATGTGCATGGTCGACGAGAGTCCTAACCACTGTGCCACCGACGCACTTATGGTCAAGTGCACCGCAGGACGTAAAGGTGATGTTAAATAACTCTAACACTGAAACTGCTTAATGTTGAGAATATATTGTGACAAAGTTGTTGCTGTACCTCTAAATAATAATGTTAAATTCCGAGAAGTCCGAGTAACGGGATAACTATTTTGAAGATCCAGAACGAGCTAACTATTTGGATGTTCCAACTATCTTTTGTAATTATTATTCGTTTTTCTCCTACAGTGTATATCATTGTGCTGACGTTTGCATATTATATGTTCGTTAGCTTGATCCTTATTATTTGTCTTTGTCCCTGTTTAATCTCTAAATTTTATGATTCTCATTGCGGATGCGTGATGTTACTGATAATATGTTGTATTACGACACGATTTTGTTCAAGTGACTGCGGGAACTGTTGGTGTGCGATTTCGGTGGACAGATTTTTAATCTCACCTCTGTGGGATTATTCCACTTAATCCCCACATACTTATTAGGGTTGAATTTTGGTAAAATAGTTGTGTTCTATAATACTCTTTCTGTACTAGATCTCCTTTCCGTATAGCTGCCTAACGTCACTGTTGAGTTTTTGATGCTATGGAACTATAGATCCAACCACGAATAACCGTCTTTTTGCTGTCTTTTGGGTGTCTTGTGACTGTGCGTCTCTCAACGAATTTATGTCAGATACACAGTAGGACGCAAAGAACGGTTCCTTGTGTCCAGACTCCAACGTGTCAGTTTTTTTAGTCATTACAGTCTATCCATTGTAATATAGAGAGAGTGGATGTATTGATTAGTGACTATAGAATGTTAGCTGTTATTTTTCTCGGCCTTAGACGCCTTTTAAACTATATCGATTAAGCTTTGCGATATGTCTACCAGAAGAGAAGACATATCATAATACTTAACCTTATATTAACGGAAAAATGGATGTCAGTTAAGTATGGAATTTCTTGTCTGCTGACAATTCAATGATAAAATTCTCGGTAACCACACACACATGGTCTGGGTTCAATTCACAGCCGACACACCCCTGCACCTTGACTCACTGGTAGTAAGGCATGTAAAGGGAAAGTTGACTGTGAGGCTAACAAAACACTGCATACCGTAAAAGAGCACAACACCACTGCTATGGAAAATTAAAAGCTCATGTTTGAATCTCTATATTCATTTGTGTTCATAAGTCATTATATACTGATATGTATATATAAATAATATAATAATTAATTAGAAAATTATTGATATGATGGATTGAATAAGTGTGTGATTTATGTGTGTCATTTGATGTTAAAAGTTGTCAGTAAAATCTGAAGAAAAAAGCCCCTAGGAGTTATATCATATGCTTAGATTAAAGCAGTCAGACCTTTAAAAAGACTAGTTAGAATACATGAGTTAAAAATGCAATGAACAGTTAGTTAGTCTATAATTATGTACAACTTACCGATAATTTAAAATACTGGATGTTCTAAAAGATTGAGCAATAAAAGACATTTCTTCTATTTGCATTCTATAGGCACAAACATGAGAAAATATTAGCTCTGAAAATGTACATATAAAAGACTATAAAAAATGTCAAGTTTTGAAACCTTTTAATGCCACACAAAATAATAATAATAATGTAGCAACACTACAAAGTAAAAGTTGAAGCATTAAATGATGAGATATGTCTTATTTTCATTTATTTTTTGTTTTATTTCGATTACAGCTTGATTCCACACCGTATTTTCGGTACAAGTATGGAATTCTCAGCATGGATATCGGTGGCCCAAATTTTGTAGGCCAACCATTGATATCGGGTGTGCGTCGGCAGGGGATTGAACCCCGGACCATGTGCATGGTCGGCGAGAGTCCTAACCACTGTGCCACCGACACACTACTTATGTTATTCCACTACTCATTCGTATTCATGATTATACCACTTTCCATAGCATCTTCAGCAATCAGTCCCTATAAGAGTGATCCAATTGGTGTCCGTGTCATCTAAGGATACATCTGACCACTGAGTTGAAAACATGTCATGAGGCATTAATCCACAAACAGAAAGTAGCTGTCAAAAGATGTAATAATTGTTCCTCTCTATCGATGTATAAAGGCAAATATAAACACCGATTCCACTGAGACAATCTTCAGAACCCAGACGAAGCAACCGCCAATAATATCACTGAATTTCTTAGAGATCTGATACCAAGATAATTCTGAAGCTCACAAACAAAACACATAGTTCAGAGAAGAGACTCTTTTCGACAAATTCATTCACTAAGCTGCACAATCGGCTTTACGTACAGTTTTTCATGAGAAAGGGTAGCAACAAAAGTGGTGAATTGTCCCATTCACAGTTGTTAATAATACTCCATGCATAAGAGGAGTTAAATACATATGTCAAAGTTACGTAATAAGACCAGTAATTTAATGAGTGAGTTCAAATCAGGAGTGACATAGGAACAAAGGGAAATTTGGAATTATTTGAGATCTCTAAAGAAATGCAAAAGTTATAAGGAGCTAGAAAAACAAACAAGAAAAAGTCAAGCCAGTAGAAACCAATTAGATTGTTACCATGATAGTAGAAATGGTTAAATAACGTTCTTTTGTATCCATTACTGCAGTTTCCCTACCTAAATGGCTAGAGTTTCAGCAGTGCAAAGGAGGCGAGGGAGTATTGCCTTTGGCATGTTACTCGTAGATTTGTCGAGAAGTTATTTGTTGAGATGGAATGACCAGTATTGACAAGGTGTCCGATTATCGCACTCCCCATAGAACCACTAGTGCCTTTCTGCAACCATGCGGGAGAATGTTTTTGAACTCTTTTAAATAGGATACGCGTCGAACGACCAATATACCTGGCTCTACGACATTAAGTGAACTGATATATGCACACATAAGTGGTCAGATGCTAGACCTTGTCCTTGAGACTTCTACAGACCAATGGTCAACTGGAGAACACTACTCTTAGCCTTTCTGAGAAGAATAATCTTCTCAAAGATGGTGAAGTTCTTCTCTCAAAAATATCGCAGACTCCCCTCCTCCTTGAAATCCAGGTCCATGTAAAGTTTCAGTTTTGGAACAAATAATGTTTCGTTCCTCTGAACTTTTGGTTTGATATTCTTATCAATGAATCGCAGTGGGTCTCCATTTTGGAAGATATGTTTCAGGAGATCCACTTCTCCTTGTAGGGCGTCAGGATCACAGATGCGTAGGATCTGAGCGACAAGCGACTTAATCAAATGTCATTTTCATACAGTTCTAAACTGCAGACTTTAATAGGTCTTTCTTGAGGCTTGCCAAGAAACAGTCTAATAGTAGTGAACCCAAGGGAGATACCATTGTACTACCATCCTTTTATCTGTAGATGGTCAGAGCTCAGAGTACCAAACAATACTGATATCATCCACCTGAGCTACAAATCTCCATTTTTTCCGCATTGTTATGTAGCTCCTAACAACAGCTATTCATCTTGTATTTATCTAAAATTATAAGGCGCTCTTTTAACTTTTAATCATAGTTAATAAATTTCTTCCTGATTAAGCGATGTGTATGATCTTACTCTTCTTCTGTTGACTGTATGATATGTATACATGTGATATTATTATTATTCCCTCGGGTTACGAGTGGGACATTTCTACTTCATCCTGTCCTCTGCTACCCTCTTTAGCTGGCTTCACTATTGTCCATTAACTCTCATCTCTCCCTCGCACAATCTTTTCCATGTCTACCTCGGATGCCCAACTCATCGTATCCATTCGGGTTCCACTCTAGGGCGTGCCTAGCGCATGATACCACTCAAGGGTTTCCTCAGCATGCGTCTAATCTATCTCCATTTTTTTCGTGCATATGTGTTGGGAAGTGTTTTCTTGTTTGGTTAGTTGCTGATGCTTTGTTGCCAGTTATCTGCTCTTCACTATGAGGTGAAGGCAGTTGTTGATGAAATTCTGTGGCTGAAAATGCTTTCAGTGATGCGACAAGTCTCTGGACCATATAGAATCACTGACCTGACTATAGCACTTCCATATTATACATTATATTGTATGATTAGATATGTGTAGCTAGAAGCCAAACCGTTTGCAAAATCAAACCTCTAATGGGCCTGCATTTCCAGTGCTTACGTTTCTTTTTATCAGTCAGATTTGTCTTTATGAAACATTTAAGAAAACTTCACTAAAAATATTATTTGTTACAGAAGGTAAAAACATTAATAATACTTATAATACACTGACAGTTTACTTACTCTTTAAATGTTTTACAGTTGAGTGCACGCATACAAAGAGTTTTTGCCTCAGAACATGATTTACACTTGAAACCAAGAACTAGATCCTTTTCTTCAGACTAAAATTATATCGATAAAAACATATTAACAGTTAAATTCTTATCTATGAATGCATAATTCATGGTTTAAAAAAGTAGATACATTTGAATATCTTAAGACATACACAAACGTTTAATATTTTGATAAAGCCATTTCGTATTCAGTAATTTATAGATATCAGGTAGAGAACCATTGAAAAACAGGGAATATCGGACAGCTGTTTCATTCTACATTGGAAATCATCGGTAGTACGTACCCACCGATAGGGTTAGAACCCATTACCTTCCAGTTCAAGGCAAGCTCGCATATCATTCAGCCACTGGGACCCGATTTAATGGCAAGTCCATGAATTCTATTCCTACCAATTAGTGATTTTAGCACGGCAACCAATTAATGCCGACGATTCCCAAACTGGTTTGAAACAGTTGTCTAGTACTCCCAGCTGGTTTTCAATGGTTCTCCTAAATGATATCAATCTGCGGTCAAACTCTTATAAACAAATCGAATCCTTACAAATTAACTCTTGAAAGTTTATATACGGTTATGAGTATCACTTATCTGAAGTAATACTGTTTATCCAAAAAACAAAACCAATTTACAATAATCAAAGGTGAGCTTCAAAAAGTCTCATTACTCTAAAAGTTGTCATTCATATGGATTTATCTAATGGAGAACACTTAGAACTAAATGTATATTTAACAAGACCGTTAGCATAGTTATTGTATTCAAAATCATAAATACAATAAACTAACTAAGTGTCAATGAAAAACTTTTTATTTAAGTGGGTTTTTTTTTGTCAAAACAAAGATCAACACAGTATCTTTTAAACACTGCCGCTAAGTGCTACGTATTCCTTGTCAAGTGAACTTTGTAAAAGTCACTGGAATTCATTTTGAAACTGCCGAAATTATTTTTCTTATTTCAATTGCTAAAATTAACTTTTAGTAAAACAGATAAGAATAATATATATATCACATTTACGGAGTTGCATTTCATAACAGCGTCTGACTTTTCACTCTCTTCCTAATTTACATTTGTCTTGGAGATGTTGAAATGTAACACTTTAAGGTCAAGTGGAAAAGCTCAAACGGGATGTTAAATTAAGATTTTAGGCAGATTAGGAGCTAAAACATCGAACCTAAGAGGCCAAAAATGATCAGCAACAGGGATCTCTGGGAGCGAACCAACCAAGAACCGATTGTGAAACAAATAGGCAGGAAGAAATGGAAATGGATTGGCTGGCCATACTCTGAGGAAACAATGCATCAAGTGACATCACTAGACAAGCCATTGCTCGAGTGGAACCCGAAAAAGAAGCGGCGAGTTGGTCGTCAGTACGAGGGTGACTTGGAGGACGTCATGTGAAGAGGAGATGAAAGCATGTGGGCAGACTTAGAGCCAGGTGAAAACTCTGTCAGAGAACCGAACGCAATGGAGACGCACAGCTGAAGCCTTATGTTCATCTAGGAACTAAAGGAAATAATAATAATGGACTGAGTACTATGTAGAATGAGTAACGACAGTCAGAGTTTCATACTAAAAAAAGCCCATATTTTGGACACTTGAATGTTTCAAGTCTATGTGCAACACTCTTTAAGACATAAACTGAAGTTTACTACGTCATATGAATAAATGGATGTGGAACTTTTTCCTAGAAGCATTCCGAAAGCATAAAAGCTGTTAACGATAGGTTTTTTTCCAACTCTTTATTTAACTGAGGAGACATTGACTCCCCAATCCCTTAGGCATAAAGTGCGATATATATATATAGGGGGAGAGAGAGAGATTGTTGAATCCACGCAAATGCCACGTAATATGAAATTCAAAGTCTCATAATGCATGAAGAAGAACGGCATCAGATGTTTTGTCACAAACAATACAACTAATTTTACAAATGAAGATCAACCCACTGAGCATACTTCCCGTTATTTCGAAACTTTATTTTCACAACACATGATCTCTGCACCCGGTATACAGGAGTAGAATTAACAAGGTTTTTTGAAAGAAGAATGTTATTACCCAATGTGTTGTACCATTGAACAGATATGATGTAACCCAAAAAGGTTATAAATAGAAAGGCAGTTGATTCTCTGTAGCGCCTATGACAACTTTAACTTCATGTAAACATGGATCCATAGATGAGTAGTATGTCACGAATCAACAACCAGAAAATCGTTAATGATCAAAAAATAATTGAGAGAGTAGCCTTTTTCTTATGGCCTTTAGCGCTTGAATTGCACACCAAAGATCATAAGTGAATTGGATCTTAATACAATGACGTTATCCCATATAAATGTTAAAACTCCCGACCCACTCAATTAGATTATAATTACTCTTACTTTTTCAAATTCTGATCAATTCTTACAACAAAATAACACTTATGGAAAGAGTTTATAAATATCAAAAAATTTACCTGTCCATTGCTGACAATCATTACCAGATTCTTTTTAGCTGGATAAATGTTTTTAATAAATGCCCTGTGAAAAAAAAATGAAGAAAAGAGGTGAAACTGAGAAATAGTTATAAGTGACTTTCAAATTGAAATTATTCACATTCTCGTTGCCTTTCATTACCAGACAACAATCTTACAAACACAACATTTTCAAAATTTTTTCACGTATCACTTACTGAATTGTATGTCATCAAACCAAAAATAAATCATTCCCATATTATTTTTTTTAAAGAATGACGCAGAGTGCATTTTAATGATAGTTGGCTTTATGGTTTCAAGTTGCAGCTCTGACGCTTTGGTAGCAATGGTGTCAAGCTTTTTTACAGGACGGAGTTGCTAACCTCATGCCCAACCTCCATTCCTTATCAATCTTATTACTGGCTTGGTGAAGTAAAGCAGTGTCGGTCGGGGATCCAACCTTGAACCACATGTGTGGTTGGCAGACATTCTACCGCTGTGCCACCAACGTGATGACTGACCATACATGTGGTCCGGGGCTCGAGTCCCGGCCGGCGCACACCCTTACCTTCCTTAGTCAGTTATAATCCCGACAAATAGGGGAGGTTGGGTGTGAGGCTAGTAACCACATCCCATACAAAGTAACACCACTGTTACTGAAACTTCAAAGCTAAGACTTGAAGCCCTGTGTTCCACTGGGAACGTCAAGGAATAAAAAAGATTTTTTAAACGCTTTATGGTTACTTTCATGTGATGAAGCGAAAATTTTCTGAATGCTGAAAAGATGTAGACTGCAGTATTTCCTACTAATGATGAAGTTACACTCATCGTAAGAAACAGTCATAACTACAAACAAACATGACACAATTCTGAGAGAACGCATAAAACTGCATGAAGTAAAATAGCTATCAGAAAGCAGAATCGATATTTACATCTGCCTGTTTACAAAACAAGTAGTATAAGGATCAAACTAAAATTCGTTGTAAGACTAAATTTGTGTGTTTAATTTCTCACGTTGTAAGATACATCTTCATACTTTACTATGACTCAATACAAAGTTCTCTTAAGATAGGTGGTATCAGTAAACAGTGAAACGTTCGCAAATCCTTATTAAAAACAGTCGAAAAGAAGAACTTAAGGCCTGGTACCCAGCCGTTTGTTTCCAATGTGGTTTTCAGAAATAGGAACGATTAAAATGTAAACGATTTGTTAGAAATGCTAATAATATATCGATTTATAGTAATCAGCTGACATCTGGTTACATTCCGACAGTCTGGAGATAGTCTCAGTAAAATTAAGTATGATCGTAGGTCTAATGAATGCAATGATATTGACCAAAAATATTGAAAAATTGAGCAAAGCAATAAAGCTTAAATGTGTATGTAACTGTATGTAATTTTATTTATAGCATATACATGGTTGTTTTACGATGCTGTCAATCAAATCCCAGGAAACATTTCGAATACTTGAAATACAATTTACGTCGAGATATGCAATAGTGATATATTGTATGCTTCACAATAAGTATAAATGACACCACAAGTGTAAATCGAACAGTGCTTCAGACATTGAATACATTGTGCAAGTTTCGATACACATATCGGATGCGTAAGAGATGAATTTGATGAATTATTCAGTGCCAGGAATAAATCAATAGATGAGATAATCTTTTACCAATAAACTTAATGGTCACTAACATAGAATACGTTTGCCGTTTATAATCATCCTCATAGACAGTGAATTATTATTATCATCATTGACTTGGGTTCTATGTAAAGCATACGGTTTTAGCACGACATAGTCGTTCCACTCTGTTCTCTGAGGTCATTTCTACATGCCTTCAGGATTGCCCATAAGCTTTCACAGACGACTTCCTCCATGTCATCCCCGCAGCAACGCCTGATTCGTCGTTTCCCATTAGCGTTCCACTCCATGGTATGTCACTCGATAGTCTTCTTAATGTGTGCCCAATCCACCCTCAGATTCCCTCAACAAATTTGCTGGGCAACAGATTCTTGGTTGATTCGTGGCCAGGGTTTCTTATTTCTTATCCTTTCTGGACATCTCATCTTTAGTATGGGATAAAGACGGAAGTACGGAATAAATATCCCCTATCTTAGCAGATATATTTATGGATAGCTGAGAAAATATTGCTTTAAATACATTTAATCCTAATCCAAAAATATGCTGGAGATATGTGGATGACTGACACTTTCACAGTGTTAAAAACAGAACATATCTCTAGCTTCTTGACACACATAAACTCACTAGTGGAGGGAATAAAATTCACATTTGAAGCCGAAAATGAGCAAGGAAAATTAGCTATGTTAGATTGTAAAATAAAACGAATAGAAGAAGGCAAACTATACACTAGTGTTTATAGAAAACCAACGCATTATAATAGATATTTAGACCTTAATTCGCCTCATCCGTTAACTGTTAAGGCAGGCTTAGTTAAGTGTCTAACAAACAGAGCCACTGCACTAAGTAGCACAAGAAAAGACCTAAGTGATGAAGTAAAACAGACAGAAGAAGCGTTGGTATCAAATAACTATCCTATAAAATTCATTAGGAAGATCAAAAAAGGCCAAACACAAAATAAAAATAATTGTGAAACTAGTAATGATAACATAAATAAGAGAGAATATAAGGCATCTACTGTTGTACCATATAAGGAGGGGATATCTGAGACCCTACGTAGGATTCTCAATAAAGCAGGAATTAGAGTGGCATTTAAACCTAAAAACTCACTCAGGGACAAGCTCTGTAGGTTAAAGGACCCTGTTAACCTAATTAGACAAAATAATATAATTTACAAAATACCCTGCAATGACTGTGAGACTAACTACATAAGTCAAACCAGTAGGTCAGGGGTAGTCAGATTGTCGAAGCATAAGAATTTAGCTAAGGGAAGAATGGTTGACCCAGAGAAGATAAGTAATTTAGAAAAAAGTTCAGCACTACATTGCACTGCGTGCATTAACACACAACCACACAATAGAGTGGGAGGGGGTTAAAATTCTAAGAAGTCATCTAGGGAGGTGAAGATAGAGAGAGGTTGATTACTGAATTCTTGTTCATCGAGTCTACACCCAACACATGCAATAGGAATGAATCATCACTCATACCGGAAATATGAAAAATACTACTACCAATCAAATCAAGCGATGGAAAATAATGGAATTATATAAATGAAGTTAGAAAGTTGTGTGAGTAACTTGATATGATTATGAGCAGTAATAAATTGTACTAGAAACGTGGTCATCAGTAAATATTACTGTATAACACTGTGAGACGTTATCAAAATAAATTTTACCCATAATGGAATTATACTCTACCACAGTGCGCAAGTTTTATTCTTATATCAAACACAGTTACTGGAAATAAAAAAGGCAACTTCTTGTTGTTGTTTGGTGAGTATCTTCATCAACTCTGTCTTCCCTATGTCCAGCTGAAGTCTTAACTTCTCTCCTAATAAATATCATAATATTATTCAGCTCTGAGTTCAAAACTCTTATCTTTCCCTGAAGTTGTGACGAAGAAAAGCGCACTTCATCCTTACGATCCTGAAATTAGAATAAATCAGTTTACTTTGGAGTCAAGATAGTCACTCATCCTTCGTACTAGAATAAATCGATGACATCAGAAGGAGCAATATCCGAAAAGCAGATGCAGCATGACTGAAGGTCTATACAAATATGAGAAATCCTATTTAAGGAGTTTATTAAGAGTTGCATTCCAATAAAAAAATCAACTCAAGGGTTGACTGTACTCACGTAAGAGCTGTACTTAATACATGTCAAACTTAATAACTGAAGGCTAAGTTCTCCGAACAAAGTTATCAATATGCTTATCACATACTACAATAAAAATAACAGATCTCCTCACGGTGGGAAATTCGAATAAAGCCGTAACACTGTGAAGGAACAGTAGTTACGAAGGGTTTATTAGTTGTACACTAAGTAGGGTCTACTTCACTAAGCAAAGTGAAGCTTCACTGATAATTTAAAACGAATTCTGATTACGCAGTTAGCTAAACTTGAACTTAATTATGAGATGTGAGGCAGTAATACAGACATAATAAGCACTTCCCAACATACTGTTTACTGTTCTGTAGAACTATGTATAATCAACCTCGAATAAATTCAAAGATTGGATGTTTCCTGAGGAGACAACTGATAGGCTATCAAGTATATGCCCTGATGATGACACGAAATGTAAGTTAGGATTTCATCATGAACTGACATCGGTTAGAGTGCCATGAGAAAACCTGGGAGTACTGGACAGCTGTTTCATCCTAGTTTGGGTGCGCACTACTGAAGAATCCCAAACTGGGACGAAACAACTGTCCAGTACTCCCATCTGGTTTTCCATTGGTCCTCCAACCCATACCAGTTCATGATGAAGTCCTGAAACCAATCGAATCCCTGTAAACCAAAACTTGAATTTAAAGCTTTTAATAGGATAGTCTTCAGTCGTAACACTATACAAACGTCAAACCTGGGACTTAGACTGTCTTTGTCTATGAACATAGTGATTTTCGTCAGTATTTCACAATTACAGATTTCATACACCTTTAAACATATTTACATTTCAAATTAGATCACAAAGTGATATCAGTTAGAGAATCACTGAAACCCAAGGAGAACTAGACAGATGTTTCGTCCTATTCTCAGACTTTTCAATAGCACTCATCCTTAAGTCCACCGAGGATCAAACTTAGAATCTTCAGATCACGATCTAAGCCTGTTCACCATTCAACTAATGACATGGAATGCAATAACCTATGGAATTCTAACTTCTACCATCTTGTATATGAATAAAATAACAGTCTATGTTAACATTAAATCACTATAGTTTCACATTATATACACTTTGAAGTGTATTCTATTCTCAATTTCTATTGTTATAGAACGCCTACACAATTTATCATATTACAATGACTAAATGTGTGTGTTTTTTTCTCTCTCTCTCCCTCTGTGTCTAGAAGATGCAATAAAAATGGTACTAAGAAATCAAATAGATTTGTTATGTGCCACCTACATACCCTTTGAATTGAGAATGTCT